TCTCACGCTGTCCCGGCACGGGGACACTCCCGCCACCGCCGCCCTCCGGCCCCGAGCGAGGGCCACACAAGGGGCCGCTTTCTGCGGGAACAAGGGCACTCTGTGCACGGCCCTCGGTGCCACCCGGCTCCACCGTCGCGGGTCACCCGCGCCGTCACACGGCTCTGCTGCCCCGGGGCCACCGCGCTCTCCTGCCTCAGAGCCGCTTTGTTCTCGCGGCGCAGGGAGCGAGTGGCTCTGGGACAAACACAACAGACCCCCCTCCCCAAAAAAAAAACAACCCAGAGAAACCCAACCTTGGAGCAGCCGCTGGAGATTCACCCACTTACGGACAGAGGACCAGAAATACGCTGTGTGCAAAAAAAAAAACCCCAAAAACCCAACCGAAAACCCCAAGACTCATCTTTCGCTTACCTTGCGCTTCTCGCCGTGCCGGGACACGCGGCGGGGCCGCCACCGCGGGGCACAGCCGGCCTCATCCCGGCAGCCGTGCCGGCAAAAAAAGGGGGATATTCTGGTTGCTTTCTCTTTTGTTTTTGGTAAAAGTGGGGCACGCTCTCACATCTGGGGCTCTGCGCTGCCTGGGAGCGGCACGTTCTCGGTAGAAGAGGAAACCCCAAGCGCGGGAAGCTGCGCTGAGCACCGGGGCTGTCGCCACGCCCGAGAGGGGCACACGAGGGGTACCGGGGGATCGGGCAGCCGGGAAGGGCAGCGGAGCCCCGGATCCGGTGTGGGACACCCGGCTGGGCGATGCTGGGGTGGCTGCTGGCGGCGCTGGCGGCGCTGGCGCAGGGCGGTAAGTGCTCCTGCGGTGCTGGGAGATGAGAGATAACTTCAGAAGACTTTCAATGAACGATTTGGGGGCGATAAGACCTGGGGAGCTCACGGAGAGAGATGGAGATACTCATCCAAAACCACAGGGAGGGGGTAAAGATGACGATTCCCCCTGGCAGAGGGCAGGAGTCGGGGCAAATGGCACCGGCCAGCGCCGCATCACCGGGGAGGGGGAACACGGGGGGCTTGGGGTGAGAATCGCTGCTGCAGCTGCTCTGATTCCCCATTTGAACAACGTGGCAAGCGGGCAACAGCCACACCACCGCTCCCTCCATGCACGGGATGGAGTTTGGGATGCAGGAGCCTCCAGCCGCTGCTCTGTCCCGCAGGCACCGTGGCAGCCCACGACATCTCCTGCTGGAAGAAATGCACCAGCAAGCCTTTGCACTGCTCCTGGCCTCCCCTCGGCCCCGCCGGCAACACCTCCTACATCCTGAACTTTTGGTGAGTTGGGCAGCGCGGCGGGGAGGGGGAGCCCGTGGGATTTGTCCCGGATCCCTCCCTGTGCCCGCTCCCTCCCCAGCTTTGAGAAGAACCGCAAGTGCCGCCGGTATGGGGTGGGCACGGCCACCAACTACAGCCCTCCGCATCGCCAGCTGTACATGCTGGACAACACCACGGCCTGGGTGGAGGCACGCTGGGGGGAGCAGATCCACAAGACCCCCAACCACACCCTTCACCTTGACAAGGCTGGTGAGTGCCCCGGGGACCAGGCTGGCAGCCAGCACCGGCACTAAAAACTGCCAGAGCACCCAAAAGCACCTCATCTTTCCAGTCAAACTGGATCCACCTCCTGATGAGATGCTCTTCTCCAAGACTGGTGGCAAGCTGAGGGTGCAGGTGCCACGGCCACGGTGCCAAGGCCTGGAGCAGCCGGCACAGCATGAGGCTCGCTTCTGGAGGGTGGGAGACAGCAGCTGGACACAGGTAAAAATGTTCTTTGCTGGAGCTGGCAGTGACTGACAGGGGTCACCATGGCAGCCCAGGGAGTGTGGGGACTCACTGATGTCAGTGTCCCCCCCAAACCCAGCTGTGTCCCATCTGTTTCACTGCGTTATGAGCTCTGCCTCGTCCTCTGGCCGTGGGATCCTGCTGCTGCCCCTAACAGGATTCTCTGGGATTACACAGACAAAACCCCAGATTATACTAATGACGACAACCGATCAAATCTGGATGCTTGTCCCCAGCGCAGCTCTCACAGCTGGGGACCCCCCATCCCTCTCAGTTGCTGCCAGGAGGGTCCCAGGATTGAGGGAGTCCCTGGCCACCATGTCCCCTGCACTGTTTGGCCCTCCCAGCCCCTGGGGTGTTTGGGGATCACAGGGCAGCACTGATGTCCCAGTAAAATACTGGTTTTACTGGGTGGGTGTCTCCATGCCCTGCTGTCTCTACAGGTGACATGTGACACTGTGATGGGGACAGGTGAAAATGACTCAGGTTGGTTTATCCTGTGGGGTTGTTGGGGATGCTCCCCAGCCAGCATCCCGTGATGGCCAAAAGCTGGGGAAAGGAGGAGCGACCCCCCCAGCTGACCATGGCACCCCTCTCTAGTGACCTGTGTCCTGGGGGTCAATGGCACCTTCGTGGTCCAGCTCCGGCACAAGCCTCCCCACTGGAGCAGCTACTGGAGTGACTGGAGCAGCAACATCTCTGTTCCCGAGGGTGAGGAAGAGGAGCCTGGTGAGATCCCAACAGCTCCCAAAAATGTCGAAGGCTCAGTCAGGCTTGTTCCTCCTGCAGAAATCCAGAGGAGCCCGGTGCTGAGCCATCAACTGGGCAAACTGGGGAGAGACGGGCAGCGGGTGCTGAGGCTGAGCTGGCAGGTACAGCAGCATCCCTGGGGGCCCTCCTGGGTGTCCCCCACGATTTCATCCCCCGAGTCCCCCCCTTTTCCTCCCCAGCCAGTCCTCAAGGAGCAAAGGGATGTCACCTACAAGCTGGACGTCCACATGTTGGCGTGTGACTGCGCAGAGTCAGATGAGGAGGACCCTGTGGAGCTGGGCTGGGAGGTGACAGAGCACAACCTCACCCTCTCCGGGGCTGAATACGAAATCCTGCTGACCGCGGTCAATGCGGCAGGGCCGGGGCCGGCGCAGCAGCTCCGTGTGCCCGCAGAGCAGCGCGCAGGTACCCGCCGCTCTGGAAATGCTGAGCTCCCCTGGCAGCCCTCAGGGCGTTATTTTTTCCAGCTACCCCGATTTTCCCCCGTTTCATCCCAGATCTCAGGTTCAAGGAGATCAGCGTGGCCGGCAGCACCGTGACTGCGCGGTGGGAAGCGCCGGTCCCTGGCGATGCCTTCTGCTTCGAGCAGCAGACGCCGCCGGAGCCTCCGAAACAGGGAATCTGCTCCCAGCAGGAATTCCCTGCCCACAGCATCCACGTGCAGAGAGGCAAGGGAGCGCCCCAAGCCCCTCGCTGTCCCCACACCCGGGGTCAGAGGGGCTGAGCAGCACCCCCGGTTCGTCCCCAGGAGCGCTGGGAGCGCCGGGCTGTCACCGCCTGGCCGTGCACGGCAGGGACACGGAGCGAGGCTGGGCCACCTTCGCCTTGTGGCACCGCTACTCCAGCAACGGTGCGTGAGCGACCACCGAGCATCCGCACCCGACCGCGCTCCAGAAGGGGCGCTCCTGAAAGAATCCCCCGGTTTTTCTGAGCGCAGATTCGCTGCTCGTGCCCGTCAACATCAGCAGCGGGGACGCCGCAGTTGTGCTCCGGTGGAAGCCGTCCCCCCGTGCCGCCTGTCCCGGAGCGCTGGACAAGTACCTCGTCTGCCATGAGGCTGAGGGGGACAACGCGAGCTGTGAGTGGGGACCCCCGATCCCCGTGGGGCAGGAGGAGGGTGCGGCCCACCAGACTGCCCCAAGGTTGGTTTTGTTTGCCCAGACAGTGAAGTGGATGCCACGGCATCAAACTACACCCTCCAAAACCTCCAGCCTGGCACAGCCTACAGGGTGGGTGTTTGGGAGGTGACAGAGGACAGCGAGAGGACCTGCAGTGCTTGGTGGCACTTCCAGACCAAGGGGCTGGGTAATGGCTGAGAGTCCCCGGTTCCCATGGGGTGCTCTCTCTCTCTACTGAGTGCTCGCCCTCACCCCAAAACGTCTCCTGTGTCCCTGTTGGGGACAGGAATGCCACCAGCCAGCCATGCCTGTCCCCAGGTCCCCGGGGAGCAGCGTGGAGAAGCAACCTGAATTACCTGGGCATCTCGCTTGGTGTCCCCGCCGCAGCTGCCATCTACCACCTGAGCAAAAAGAGGTGACAGAGCACCCTCGTCCCCAAAGCCGCTCAGCCGCTGTCACCCACCCCTCACCAACCACTCCCTCCCCAGGGCTCGCCGCCTCCTCTTCCCACCCCTCCCCAAGCCCGTGGGCACCAAAGCCATCCAGTTCTCGGCGGACGAGATGAGCCAGGTGAGGTTTAAGGTGCAGGAGGGGGCACATCCCACAGCCCCAAACGCCCATGCACAGCCCTGGCTCGGGATGTTC